CGTCTTTTTGAAATTTTCCTCACAGAATTTGTCCGAAGGAGACAAGATAGCGCGTTTTGGAGGTTCTTCCAATTCCCAGAATCGAAGAAGAGTATTGTTAAGATCTTCTTCCGGAAAGTTGATAGTGGTTGTTAAAACCGTAATTGTAGAATTGGGAATGGGACCAGTAATGATCCAGCCGAAAACAGTTCTCTGTGCCATTAAAGAACCTAAGATGTTCGATTGAATTCCCTGTAAAAGGATTCTAGGATATAAATCAGCGCCTAGTAGAAGGTCAACTGGTCTAGAATCGCAGAAGTTTCTATCTGCCAAACGAATATTTGGCAAACGGGAAATTATGTCACCACCTATGGAAATGGAGGGTAAATTACCAGAAATAGCGGGAACCACTAGAGCTGGGATTTCAAAGAAAATTGATGAGTCGATAGGAGAACCTATGCATATTGAGCACAATTTTCTGGATGTAGTGGAAACACTTTGATTAACGCCAGAAATCGTAGCTTGGGTCGACGTAGTAGAAATACCAAGACGACGTTGCAAATTTTCAGTGATGAAAGACGCTTCAGAAGCTGGGTCGATTAGGGCACGAGCAGGGTATGTGATGCCTTGGTGAATTAGATTCACCATTGCGGTACCCAAAACAACATTTTTGTTTTGCGAAATATGATACACTTGCCTATTGACAGAGTGGGATATACCTGACGAAGTCGAGGGAATATTTGGATTCGCATTGATGGATTGGTTAGAAGTTGTTGGCGACGGAGTCGCTGCTGGTGTAGAATTTGCGTGATTTGACATCTCACGATGTAAAAGTGTGTGATGTCGCTTATTGCATTTCCCACAATTGTGTTTACTTACACATTTTTTAACTTCATGACCAACGGTCAGACAGTTCAGACAACAATTGAAGCGTTTGAGCACTGAAAAACGACCTTCTATGGATAATTTTTTGAACTCTGGACAAAAACGCAATGGATGAACCAATTTAGGACAGAGAACGCAAGATTTAAAGGAAGAAGCGCTAGAAGACACAGAAGGTACGGACTTTGTTAGGTGAGTCCGCACTTTTTTCTCAATCTTTTTTGATGAGTCAATACCTCGAATATCTCGGAGACAAGTAAGGGTCTGGATCCTTTCCGTAAGAAAACGATCCAAATCCTTCCAATCAGACAAAGCCGACTTGTCTTTGACCGTCTGCTCCCAAAGCGAGACCGTGTGCTTAGGCAATCTTTGAATGCATATGAAGACTAATATGGGATCCCAGTCGTTCGTAGAAACGTCATAGATCGCCATAGCCGAAATGCATCCATTGATTGCTCGTTGTAGATTTTTCAAACTTGCACTGGACTCATTATCGAGAACTGGAAGATCAAAGAGCAATTTCAATTGGTTGTTAACCAAGATTCGGACATTGTCATATGTCTCCTTTAAGGCCTGCCACGCTAAAGCGAAACTTTTGTGTGTCAGCGGAAACTTTGAAATTATGTCTTTGGCTTCCCCACTGGTTTTCTTAAGTAAATAACATAATTTTTCAATGTTACTAAGTCGACTGTTGTTGATGTATACTGCAGAAAACAGATCCCTAAAGGTAGGCCAGGAAAGGAAATCGCCATTGAAAACATCTATATCGCATGGCGGTAGATTCAGACTATGCATTACATTGTCATTTGAAGCGAAAACTTCAACTGACGGTTCCGTATGGCGCGAAACGCCAGACAGAGGCAAACTTTCTGAATGAGGAGGAGAAACAACTCTTGGAGTGCTAGTTACATGTGAAACATGTGAATCGAGCGATGAGACTGCTGGGTACTATTCAAACTTTGAATAAGGGAGGGGTTAGAATTATTTTGTATGGTACGTAATTGGTCCAATTTACGATTTATTGAAGCAATGACGTTTACATATGCCCTATACGCAACGTCATATTTACTTTCTGCAGATGTGATGTCTTCGCTTTCAGCATCTTCAGAAGTTTGGAGATATGTAAGACATTGGTCAAACATTTCCTTCACTTTACTCCACAATTCCCTTGCCTCAGCGGCCTGAACATCAAGGGAATATATGTCCAACTCTTCCTCTCGAAGAGAAGTAAAGTTGGCTTCAAATTTTACCAGAGCATCAGTTGCTCTGATAAAGAAATCAAGTGGAGATAGTGGCATTGTGAATTAGAAAGCTCTATGAATTTGGCCAAAGAGAACAAGAACTGAATTTAAAAATCGCAAATCTGAAAATATCAGTGTAAACAAACTTTAAATTGTTAAAACTCAACGAAAATTGAGTGAAATTGTTCAAATTTATATTGAAACAGCACGAAAATGCTTTTATCTGTTAGTGAATGCTAACAAATACAACACCCAACTAGATAAAGAAACTCTTTTTTTTTTTAATTTAAAAAGAAGTGATGAGAAAATGTAAATAAATTTTCTCGGTAATGAAAATCAAAAAGATTTTCACTGTGTATCGAATAATACACTCTTGTTTTTATGAGTATTTAAAAAAAATACCAAAAACTTGAAGAAGTATTTGCAAATTTGACAAACTTTGTTTCGTTAGGTGTAGAAAACTACACGATTTTTTTTTCTCAGTGTATCGAAAAATACAGAGAATTTGATTTGTGTATCGAAATATACACAACAAAATTATTTCCGAAAAGAAATAATTAAAAAACCAAAACAAATCGCCAAAAATTGCAAAAAATCAATAAAAAATAAATTTTGTTCAATATTTATTACTGAAGGTAGGGTGCACGGACTGTAAGATGCACGCTACAGTTCAAAATAATAAATATTTTTTTCCAAAAAGAGCAACAAAATTCAAAGAAATATTTAAAAAATTAAAAATATTAAATATATTTAATAATAATATATATAATAATAACGAAAATTATTATTAAATAACGAAACGACCGAATGTAGGGTGCACTCTATACGGACCCGAACAATTTCCAACAGAACCGTAGGATTCCAAAAAATTTAATTAAAATTTTGGCCCGAACAGACCTAATAAACAAATTTTCCAATTTTTGCCCGAACAGACCTATTACACCCTGTAGTTGGTTACTGATTACCTATTACAAATCAACCAACCACAGAGTACACAGCACTATTATGTGATTGTATTGTTGTTGTGATATCCAACAGTAATGTTGTTAGTGTTTATTTTGTTCTTCTTTATGCCAAAGATCACAAAATAAACAAACACAACCACAATAAAATCACTGATCACTGCTTATGTATTGCAATAAACACTTTTTGCTTATATTTTTTTTTTTCACGTATAACACAACAAAGAGCGGGTATTAAGAGTGTAATATTCTTGAAGAGAATTATTACACGAAATAAAAACCGGCACTGTTGGAAATGTATGAACAAACGAATTACCGACGGACGGACACTTGTAAAAACGACCGTAGTTAAGCACTTTGTTTTTTTGTTTTTGTAATTTAATTTTTATTTCAAAACGAAACACTCGCGGCTTATGCTCACTAAATGGACGGTACGTACCTTTTTAGTGATGTAGTGATTGTTTCAATAAAAATAAATGAAGAGATGGATGATTAGGCTGCAAGTGTGGGATTGTAGGCACTGGTAACTGCTGTTTTTTGACGAAGTCAAACCTTTTTCAAAAAGGGAAAGAAGAAGCAGATTAGTTTTTTTTTTTTGTTGCTGGAAGCACGTATCTCGGCTCGAAGAGACCAAAAATGTTGCGGAGCAGCGAAAATGAAAAAAGGAAAATAAAACACAAATAATTAAAATTTTGAAATAATAAAAATTGGCGGTTTTATTGAATATTATATTAGTCGAAAAACTAATATAACTTTACCTTTTTACAATGGGTGTTGTTAAACGATGTTGATTGGACGAAGATCCGAAAAACAAGTAAGTTAAAAAGTAGCGAGCAAGCCTAGATGTCACAAGAGAGGCGCGAATTGATCATCTTTGCTCGTTACAATTTGTCATCACTAACTTTGAACGAAAGTTCAAAGTTGAATAAAATGGTATTTGACAAATTGAAGAAAAAGAGCAAAGGGTTGCATTTTTAAAGAAATTAAATTAAATTGAAGTTAAACACTTACTGACCCAATGTCCTCTGTTGAGTTTTCTTCTTCCAATTTTACTCTCGTCTATTTTTACGAGTTTTCCAAAATATTTCAAATGCCTTGACCAATAATCCCAAATTTCGGTATAAACATACCTTCCAACAATCTGCGACAATAATAGTTCCCAATTTTACTCTCGTCTATTTTTACGATTTTTCCAAAATATTTCAAATTTCTTGACCAATAATCCGAAATTTCCGTATAAACATACCTTCCAACAATCTGCGACAATAATAGTTCCCGAAAGAATATCCTTTTTTTTTGATGAGGGGTAAAATACTTTTTTTCGTCCTCTCTTCCTCCGGTACAAGAAAAGATTTATTGGAGCCCCTCTCCACTCATTCAAAAACCTGCTGACCCAATGTCCTCTGTTGATTTTTCTTCTTCCAATTTTACTCTCGTCTATTTCTACATTTTTTCCAAAATATTTCAAATTCCTTGACCAATAATCCGAAATTTCCGTATAAATATACCTTCCAACATTAAAAATGGTTATCTCTCTCAAAGGAAGGACGAATGCCACAAGTTTCTTATAATTTATTAAAAAAAACCATCCACCAATGGCATAACGGAATGACAGGGGCGTTGCCAGTTTATTTTGCTCTCTCTTTACAAAATACGTAAAGTAGCAAAAAAGTCGTCCTTGTAACAAAAATCCAAAACCGTAACGTAACGTAAAATCCAAAACCACTAAAAGCTACATGATTTCCTTTCCCATTATCCTCAATTTTTTTCCTGAGCATGCGCATTATAACACAACACAAAGCATCCAAGGGAGTTACGGCCATCGAAAACTGTAACATTTTGTCAAGTGAGTTTCCGTTCAATTCAGTTACGTGTTAACTTTAAAACCGTTACAAACGTTTTCCGGGGACGAAACATTTTCAAAATTTACGCAAAAATGGAAAAGACCATTGATTTCGATATGTCGGCCAGCATTTCTAGTTCTACATCGTTGGCGGCAGAAAATGTTACAGAAATTGAGACATCATCATCATCACCACCAGCAGCTGTGGTTGGAACCGCGACGGTCATGAGTAAAAAATCACGCAAATCTTTGAAATCATTGTTGGCGGATGGCGGCAGTGGCCCATTTAAAGTGGCGGCTGGTGTCAGTGCCAGCAATCGTGTACCCAAATGTGCTCGCTGTCGTAACCATGGCTGGATTTCGGAATTACGCGGCCACAAGAAACATTGCACCTATAAAAATTGCCGTTGTGCCAAATGTGTTTTGATATTCGAACGACAGCGTATTATGGCGGCTCAGGTGAGTTGCGCGAGATTTATATAACATAAATTGTGGAGTAAATGTCGGAAGTGTTCAATATTTCACATTTCAAAAAAATTATGGAGAATCAAAATTAAAGGTGAGAATACATAAAACTCTTTTTTGGCTGGCTTAAGTCATCGGCTGGCTTTTATGGAAAAGAGAAAGAAGCATAGGGCCAAAATCGAACTAAGTCAACCTAATGCTCTTTTGTTCTTTTACGAAGAAGGCAGCCGATGGGTTAAGGCAATCATAAAAGCGTTTATGTATTCTCACCTTACGATACGTAAAATGAAGCAATATGCTGCTTATGGGTCCTTTCTGAGAATAAAAGTTCGGAGGGTGATGATACGATATTAGGTTGCAAGTCATGGCTAGGCATATTAATGTCAAATTAGAGTGGAAAACGATGGCAGGATTTTAGTGCGGCTCTGGATTCACTTTATGAAATGTCACAAAATATGCCTAGCCATGACTTCAAGCTTCTTATGTACTTTCACCCTTAGGTCCCACCAATTGAAATTTCAGTACGGGAAAAGGCTGTTTTCTCTAAAACACTAGACTTTCAGGAGAAACAAAAAATTCTGAAAGAAAAACTTTGGAAGGCGGGAAGCCGGTGTTGGAGATAAGGTGAGAATACATAAAATGATTTTCTGACTAGCTTAAGTCATCGACTGACTTCTTCGGAAAAGTACAAAAGAGCCTAGGGCAGAAATCGAACTAAGTCGACCTAAAACTTCTTTGTTTCTCTACGAAAAAGCCAGCTAGTCAAAAAAATCGTTTATGTACTCTCCCATACTCAGGGGAGAAATTATCAAGCCTCGGCCGAAACTACTTCCGACGTCCATAAAATGCAATAAATAATTAAACTCATGGTGGGTATAGCCCTCCTCCGAAAAATATAACTTGTATTTTAATGGGTCTTATATAAACATACCTTACAACAATCAGAGACTATAATATTTCCCGGAGGAACCAATTTTTTTTATTTCTCCCCTTCTTTCTTTCACCGGAATAAAAAAACATTCATTGTAGCCTCCCCACTCATCCAAAGACCTACTGACTCTCAACCAGCCTTCTCAAGACTCGGCTGAAACCGAGTCCATAAAATGCAAGGAGTGAGAGTCCACAAAATACAATGAATGATAGCCCTTATGCCGGTTCATGTGAAAAGCAGCGTTGCCATTTAGAATTTTATCTGGAGAGCAAAATACAACCCTGGAGTAGAGAGTGGTAGGGATATGTAAATGAGCGTAAAGAGTACGGAAAGATACTAAACGAATTATCAAATTTAGAAAATCTTTGGTTCGCGTAGCCGGTGTTGGAGATATTCTGAGGAGAATTTTTCAAGACTCGGTCGAAACAGCTTCCGATGTCCATAAAATGAAATGAATGATTCCCCTTATGGGTGATATAGCCCACCTCCGACAAATATTATTACTTGTATTTTAATGGGTCTTATAAAAACATACCTTCCAACAATCTGAGACTATAATTGTTCCCGGAGGAATATATTTTTTATTTTTCTCCTCTTCTCTTTCACCGGGACAATAAAACATTCATTGAAGCCTCTCTCCACTCATCCAAAAACCTACTGATTCTCTACCAGCATTCTCAAGCCTCGGCCGAAACACCTTTTGACGTCCCTAAAATGCAATAAATAATTAAACTTATAGTGGGTATAGCTCTCCTCCGACAAATATTTTAATAGGTCTTATAAAAACATATCTTCCAACAATCTGAGACTATAATAGTTTCCGGAGGAATATATTTTTCAAACCCTCCATTATACATAGTATTTTGCATTTTGCACCGATCTGTCTTTTGTCCACAGGCAGGTCAAATTCGAAGATGGGCTAAATCGGTCTACGATATCGTATATCGACATTCGACATTTTGATGATTTTAGCCACATTTTTTAATGGAATTATCTGAAATTCAAATTTTGTATTTGAAGTTCGCAATGGGTACTAAAACCTGTGACGCAAAATTGTCTATGCAGGTCCACGTCTTAGTTTAGTCTCCATACAACGGTACCTCCCTTTATTCGGTATTTTGATGATATTAGCGACATTATTCACCGGAATTGTGTCGAACTTCGTATTTGAAGTTCTGAATCGTTACTACAGCCTATCACAAAAAAATGCTTATGCAGCACCACGTCTTCGTATAGCCCTCATATAAAAATTTTCATTTGAGCGGTATTTTCCGAACTGAGCTGCTTTTTTACTTGTTTATTTCTCTTCTCCTCTCTTTCACCGTAATATTAAACATTTATTGGATCCTCTCTCCACTCATCCAAAAACCTACTGGCCCTCTATTCAATGTCCTCTAATGAATTTTCTTCTTCCAATTTTACTCTCGTCTATTTCCACAATTTTTCCTATGCCACCTAGTTTCACTGTGTCCTGGAACAAACTGAAAACAACCACTTTCCTGCAGAAGTTGTTCCAGTCCGTTCTAGATTGTGCTCCAATAATATTGGTGGTTTTCATTATGTCATTTGTAGGTAAATTACAGCACCAATAAAAATGTGAACGTCAATATTTGGTAGAACGACAAGTGAGAACGGTCCAGGAAGATGTCTTTCCTTATGGACTGGCTGAAGGTACTCCCTCCAGCTCTTTTATGGTCCTTTAAATAACCTTGGGTACATAAAAAAAAAACAAGTTAAAAAGTATCGATCGGTTTTACAGACAGATATACGGGTGAGATGAAAAAAACTGCAATCAACTTCAGACTGCTGTCATTTCTAAGCCACTCGCCCGACCGCTGTTAAAATTATTCCAGTGATAGCTCATTATATTGTTTACAAGCGTACAATAGCATTTTGTTGAGAATTTTCCAGAAAAAAAGTTATTCGTGATGGAATTCAAGCGTGATAGTGTGACTTCTTTATATTTTTGGCTGGAAAACCACTAGTGGCTATCGTTAGAGAACTCCAGCATTTAAATGTGAATAAATATTTTGTGTCTCTGGTAGCGTAGCCCGACGTCAAGGAAGTGGACGGAAGAAAACAGCAACATCAGCAGAAATGGTTTGAAAAGTAAAGAAGCGACTTGATCGAAACTCGTGTCGCAGTGAAAATGGCGAAAAATGGCTCGTGAGCCGAACATATCTCATTATTCGGCAAACATTGAGAAATGAGCTCTGGGTAAAGCCATTGAAATTCCAAAAAGTGTAAGAACTTACACCGCAACAGAGAGTCTCAAAAGAGCTAAAGAGTTGCTTCACTTGACCGAAGGTTGTGAACTGCCGAATTTGGTTTTCTCCGATGAGAAAACATTCGTTGTCCAGCAGTTTGTAAAAAAAACAAAATGATGTGCACCTTCGGTTGGCCACCAGATAAAAAAGAACTCAAGCGCCGGCCATGGTGATGGTGTGGGCCGCCATAACAGCCGATGGTCGCTCTCCGCTCGTATTAATAGACTGTGACATCAGAATAAAAGCCGAATATTATCACGAAAAAATTCTGGTGGGTGTTTCAAAAGCCTTGGGCACGCAAACATTTTGGCCGCAGACCTAGGATATTCCAACAGGACTCTGCACTATCGCACTCAGCACACGCGCCACCCAAGAATGGTTACAAAATGCGGTACCTCGCATCATTTCCAGCGCACAATGGCCACCACCAAATCTCCGGATACCAAACCGTTGGACTATTGTGTCTGGAGTACTTTGGAAAGCAAGGTTGGCACTTAAAAATACCAAAGTGTCAATCACCTCAACAAAGCACTTCGCCGGGAATGGGCCAAAATACCGCAGAGCACCATTTGGGCAGCTTGTGACAGTTTCATCCATCCGTTTGAAGGCCATAATTCGTGCCAAACATGACCAATTCGACCAAATCTAAACTTATTCTAAAATTTGATGGTATTTCCGACACTTTTGGATTTCATTCAATAAAATTTAAAAAAAATATATATAAAAACTAGCTGGCCCGGTCCGCGTTGCCGGCCCGTAGTTTTTGTCTATTATGCATATTTGTCAAAGCATAATTATTCAAAGATATGAATGTTATAAATGTTCACGTACTGGTCGATTAGTTTTTAATTTTTAGTCAAATGAGCAGTAATTTGGAATTTACTGTACTTTGTACACCTCATAATTGAGGGCTAATTGATTTAAGAATAGGCAAAGTTTATTACTTTTTTAAACCCATTAGCACCTCAGATTGTGCACTCATAAGTCCCCCTAACCATGTCGGTCTGTTTGTCCGCCAAAAGGTGGACTTGAGGGGGTACTATTACATGGAGAAAATTCTAAAATTTGTAGATATGTTGAAATTTTTGTGTAAGACTTTCACCCCCAAAAACACATTTTTAGCCAAATCCTTTGAAATATGGTAAAATGCGAAACATCGACCTACATTGAAAACTTTCTTTACCCCTTACAATCCAAGACGACAAATAGAGGCCAAATCGAAAATATAGCAGAACAACATAGCATGTCAAAGTGAAAAAAATCACATGATTTAAATAAGTAAAAATAGTTTTATCCACCTCATAATTGAGGTCAGACTGATTCAGAATAGTAAAATATAAATACTATTTTACACCCATTACCGTAATAAGGGAACTAATTTTATTTGTCATTTAAATTGTAAGTTGGAGACCCCATAAAGTCCATATTTTTCATCATAGTATAATTTAATGACGATTCGACAAAAATTCGGTCCCGTCCTACTTTCTTATATTTGTAATTTATTCATGTTTTCACAATTTATTTCATATAGATGTATATCCCAAATCTACTTTCCCAACCAATATTCTCTTGGGGGTTACAAATTCAATAGAATACACATTTTTCTTTTCTGACCACACATTAGATGTGAAAGTGGACTTGGGGATACTCCAATGTGGGGACTTTACATGAATAAATTTCTATGTGGCAATTATCTGTACGATGGTTCCTTACCCCAGGGTAGGATAAATACAATTTTTTAGTGGTCAAGACCAATATGGGCCTTACTCCGAAAATTTTATGCGAAGAGGTTCTCT